TTAATCCTGTACCCCTACTCTGGCCGGCCCAGTTTTAATAGTGTCTTGTTGTATTGTTACTGTTATTGTTTTGTTTTTTTTAATTTGCTTTAGGTATTGTATTGTTGTATTGTGTTTTGGGGCTTCGGCCTGTGTAAGCCGCATCGAATCCCTCGGGAGATGCTAGCGGGGTACAAATAAAGTTATAATAATAATAACAAATAAAGATTATTATTATTATGATTAATTCAATAATAACATTAGGAAGAATTTAGGGAGATAGCTTGGCAGTGGAATATGTTGCCATGGAATGTGGTGAAGTCTCCTCCTCTGAAGGTTTTCAATTAGAGACTGACTGGTCATCTGTTGGGGGTGCTCTGATTGTGCCTTCCTGAGTGGCAAAATAGGGTTGAACTGGATGGCCTTTGGGGTCTCTTCCAACTCTGTGATTCTGTGGCAAAGTCTAATCATGTTCCTCCCTCTCCTGACACCATTCTGACACTCAGAAAAGAAAGAAACACCCCTCCAACTACGATTCCCAACGTGCAGGTGTCACAGACTACACTTCCCAAGACGCAACGCGCCAAGCCTCTATGTGTTTCTATGATCCAGGGCGCGCAATGCATGCCGGGACCCGTAGTCCGGCGCGACCCTACCTGGAAGCGGTTGAGGAAAGCGTCGGGCCACAGGAAGAGATAGACGGGGCTGATGAGGCCTAGCTTGCCGAACAGGGGGACCGCGATGGAGCCGGCAAACCAGTAGCGGGTGATCAGCGGGATGCTCCGGAACCACTCGCCGAGATCCGACATCTCGCCGTCGCTGAGGCGAGGCCTTTCCTCCTGCCGCTGACACCGGGGCTGTCTCTTTCTATTGCGCATGCGCGCTTACTGGACAAGCCGTGGGATCCGCCTTCCTCCGAGGTGGCTGCACTGGATTCGGCCGGGTGAGGGCCACTTCCTGTTTCCGCCCTGCCATTGCTGGGCAACACAAACAAAAGTGAAAGGAGGCGGAAGTGACGTTTCGCCCAGGGCCATTTCTTAAAGGGACCAAGTAACTTTTTTTTTTTGCTGCCAACCAACAGCAAAGAAATAATGACAAAACAAAGTCAATAAAAATAAATAAAACATATCCCAATAAAGGTTGCTTCTCTACTTATACATTAAAAGATTGCTTACTTTTTCACTCCTGGAAGGCAATAAACTACAGAAGAAGGAAATTTAGGAAGCATTTAGTCTCCTTGTTGCAACTTTTTATGTTTCACTTTATATTCATATTTTACACACACACACACACACACACACACACACACACATATATAATGTGTTGTATTATTTTTATTTTATATTATATTTCATGTTAGACTTTTAAAGATAATTTTAGATATTATATATTTTAGATTATATTGCATATATTATATTATTTTCTTATAGATTATATTTTATGTTACATTGTTTTCGATGTATTTTAGATTGTATGTTATATTACTTTATTTTATTTTAATTATATTTCATGTTAGATTATTTTAGAAAATATATTTTTATTTGATATTGTATATGTTGTATTATTTTCTTTTTCTTTTAGATTATATTATTTTATTTTATTTTTTGAAAAGATTTTATTAAGTTTTAATAATAACACAACAAAAAAGTGAGAACAATAAAAATATAGGAAAGAGATGGAAAAAAGAGAAATAGGAGAGATATAAGAAAAAAAAGAAAAAGAAAAAAGAAAAAAGTAGAAAAATAATAAAAATAATGGGAAAAAAATACAAAAATACAAAAACAAACAAAAAATACTACCAAAAATTAAAAATACTACAAAAAATAAAAAAAATGACTTCCATTGCATCTTCTTGGTTAAAGTCTTTCTTTTATCAAAATCTGCTAATAAAAATATCTATTGTAGTCTCAATGTTTTGATGCTCTCCAGATATTGAAGAGGTCCCAATTTGTTCTTTTTAAAGTATCCCCGGTATTCTTTTTCAGCAAAAAAGTAAATTCATCCATATCTTTTATCTCTCTCATTTTATCTAACCACCCATCAATGGGCGGATTTAATTCTTGTTTCCATTCTCTCGCGAAAACANCAAAAAAACACCCCAATTACAAATCGATTTTAGAACCAAATTTTTTCTTGATCAACCAGGCCTACTGGATACCTCTAAATTAGTAACTGGAAGTTTCTGCTAATCCTCTTTAGACACGCAAATAGAATGGACAAGATTTCTTTTGTATAATGGTAGTGATGACTGCGTAATGGTTGGCTTTTGTAGCTGATGCTTTGTACTTCCCATCAGTACCTTTTGGGAGCCCATAATAATTCTAACGGAAATGGATGCATACCTAATGATAATCTGTAGGACTCGGGGGAATTGCTAAGTGTGTAGCA